GTCCTGATGCATCTCATCTCATCTTAATCTTTTGTTTTTGAATTTTTTTGTATTTTTTGGTGGGGGGGGGGATTTGTTCTTAAAATAAATTTCAAGTGGCATTAAAGAGGTCTTAAAAAGTCTTAAATTTAACTTGTTTTAAGCTGTAGGAACCCTGTTTACAGATACAGAGTTCATCTGTGAGCAGATAGCTAATTAGGCTCCCTAGGCAAAATTTCAGAAGGCAACCCCTGAGCAGTTTTCTAAATCTTATTCATACATTCACACTAGGGATGCACCGATACGAAAATTTCAGCCGATATCCATATCTGATATATTTATTGCTGTTATGGCCGATAACMGATGTTTACCAATATTACACAAACACATATTATGCATACACGCACAAACATACTTGGGTCTTTTTTTATTACCGTAAATAAACCAGACCTCTGACATGGCTCCCTGCTTCAGTTATTCCTGGCTATGCAGCATCAGTATTACTATCATGATCAAACAGACACCACTCAACCAACCATCTAACCTCCCAAAACAGAAACTAAAGCTAAAAAGTGGGAAATCGATATCGGACGTTAATATCAGACTAGTTTTACACATTGGACCAATACGATATTCTAAAAAATGACCAATATCGTCTGATACCGATATTAATGCCGATATATCATGCATCCCTAATTCACATATGCAATTAAATAGATTTTTTTGATTATTTTTTATGTTTAGAAACCAAGTTGTCCAATTAAAATAGTTAACATCATTAATTAGTTCGAAACAGAGTACCAGACCTAAGCCAAGATCTGCTGACARCAACAATGAAYATTCATGTTAACAAGCAGCTGTGGACTGAAGCAGTTCAAGGGAGGTTCAGAATTTAGTTAAAGATCTACTTAAAATAATGCATTTTCCAGCTATTTGAAGAACATTTGGCTAAATTCTTGACATAATAAAACAAAAACTCTACTTTATGAAGGTAGAACACTAAAAACCAACGACTGTGTATTAGGATCATTTTTCAGATGAAAAAAAGGAGTAAATCTCCACAC